AGCTCTCTCAAACTAAAATTCAAGCCTACATCCCGAGCCGCTTGGGGCGGGGCAAAAAAGCCTGATGTTGGTGCCAAGTGTAGGCGTCATAATAACCAGGCTAGCTTAATATGAAACAGCAAATTTTAATGAGGGGATAGCTTATAACACCAGGGATCCAGCGTGAGCAGGAGATGCCGGGCGGTGGTGGCGCACGCCTTTAATCCCAGCACTCGGGAGGCAGAGGCAGAGGCAGGCGGATCTCTGTGAGTTCGAGACCAGCCTGGTCTACAAGAGCTNTTTTATAAGAAGCTAAAAATATAACGACGACATTACAAGGCTGTGCATTTACCTAAAGGACTCCGTCCTATGTAAAAGGGATAGTAGCTCACCCAGGCTCATTGCTGTTCTCTTCACAATCACTAAGAAATTAAATTAGCCTAGATGTCCATCAAAAGATGAATGGATAATGAAAATTTGATTCATGTACACAACTGAATGTGTATTACATTAAGATTTTTTACTAAATCATAAATTTGCTGAGAAATTAATGGAACTTGAAAATACTCAAAGAGGGATAACCCAGCCAGAAAGACAAATGTACCATGCTCTCATTCATTTGATGATAGTAATTTTGAATTGTTAACATTTATGTGTTTGAGTTAAAATGAGTCTTTGTAGCTCACAGAAAGCAAAATGTGATCCATGATAAATAGCCAGAGAGACCTCTTTGGAATGAGGAAACAAGTAATATATGGTATAAAAGTAGAGGTAATTAAATTTTAGATCAGAGGCTTTTTAAAAAATCTATTTATTTATTATGTATACAGTATTCTTAGTATTCTGTCTGCATGTATGCCTACAGGCCAGAAGAGGGCACTAGACCCCATTACAGATGGTTGTGAGCCACCATGGGGTTGCCGGTACTCGAACTCAGGACCTTTGGAAGAACAGACAGTGCTCTTAACCACTGAGCCATCTCTCCAGCCCTCCTGTTATTACCAAAGATGAGTGTGCCAGGATGAGGAGCAGGGAGGCCCTTCATTGTGGCATCCTGGAAAACCAGAGGATGGAAGGTCCTGTCTACTGGACAGACCAAGTATCTTGGGTAGGTGCCTGCTTGAGCCTGGAGAGATGCTGGTATACCAGCATGTGTGTCCAAGAGCTTGGCAGCTGAGGGGTTGGTGAGGATTACGGGCCATCGAGGTTCGAGAGACCTAGGAGTTAACTGTCTGAGGAGTACTCCGTACCCTGGGGAGACTGGGGCAGGTTTAGGGGCGTTAGGGTTCACTGGGGTGGTGGCAGGAAGACAACTGTCAGCGTGTGAACGGAGAAGGGACCTCAGAAGGGAGAGGTAGGGTAGGCTGCTAAGGTGTGGGCCTGTAGGATGGCTGCCTGTTGTAGCCATGTAAAGGCCATTTTTACCAATTTCCATATAGGGGTTTGGGGACCCTCCTCAACCTTTCTTAACTTTAAGCAGAAGGATTAGTAGAAAAGGAACCTAGTCGCTTTTTTTATCTGAGAAAAATCTGGAAGAAAAACTTTTATAATCCCATTGGCTCCTGCCATCTCCTGGAGAGGACAGAGAAGAGCAGAGCTGGGGTGGGATCTGGTATGGGAAGGGACTGGGGAGGATTGGGAGGGGCTAGCCCAGTGTGCAGAGGGGGTCCAAGGGTGGAGAGGTGAGGTAGGAGGGGGGAAAGGAAGGTGGGTAAGGTGGAAGTTGACCTTGAACCTTAGGGGAAGGAGAGGAAAGTGAGGGCTGTTGCTCCACAGGAGGGGGTTGGGTAGTGTGGGCTTGAGGGAGTGGGGGAGGGGACATTGCCTCTGGTTTCCGGGTGCTGTGAGACACTGGCTACTAAGGGAAGGGCGGGAACGCAGAGCCCCCAAACCATGGACATATGTAAGCTCTGCCCATTTGTCCCTATGGCAACAAAAATTTTCTAGGTCCCGGAGGACAGTAAGCTCAAGGCTTCCCTCTGGTGGCCAACGTGTCCCATTGTCAAGATAGTATTGAGGTCAAATCTTAGTGCGTAGGGAAATTAGCCATTGGGACAGATTGTATTGGACTGGCTCAATTTATAAAGATTTTGTAGGAGGCATCCCAGGGGTGACAGCGGATCTGGCTTCGAACTGCAAGTCCCCATTTTAAAGTCTATGCCCCACCACGTGGCCTAAGTCTATTACAGTGCGTCCGCTAAAATAACTCTTAGGCTTAATGGGGTCATGGAAATAGAATGCTAGGTGTCCCAAAGCAAACAAAGTCCATCTGAGCTAGGCCTGGTCTTGCTGGTTTAGCCACTGCTGAGATCAAACACTTGGCGCAAGCTCCCAGCTTCAACAAGAGTCTGATAATTGACAAAAAAAGTACAAATGTGTCCCTCAAAAACTCTATAGCATAGACAAGAGAAAGGGACTCACAAGATGCAGCTACTGTAGTCCAGGAGCTGATTTTAGCGTGGTGTGGAGAGCTCAGATTGTAGACTAGGGGGCTTTTGGTGGTGTGGCCTAGGGCCACACGGAAAGGCCACCCTACCTGGTGGAACCTCCAGATGTTAGGAATTTTTCCTAGCGTGAGCTCTCTGCCAACACAAAAAATCCCAATGAAGCCAAATCACAACAAGCCAAATTAAAAAAATATCCAGGCTTAATGGGATTCCTGTGCTGTCAGGTGGCCCCAAGGGGGAACCGAGAGGCAGCAGACTGTGACCACCAGGGGGAGAAGAAGGAGAATGCGTGTTTCTCCTTTGGGAGCTTCCCAAGGGGTCAGGACCTGGCATACTGGAATTTGGAGTCCAGACCAAAGCAACTCCAGGTCAGGGAGGCTGGGACGGATGAGGCTGGGACAGATGCTAGGGTCTGGGGACTACGCCCTCAACTTAACAATCTTCAGCCACTCTATAATCATCGTTGTCATGGGACTCCACCTGCTATTTTCCAAGTTCAAGTAGAAATGAGTAGTTTTGGAAAACTACATTACTGAGCCAGGAATCCTGCAGTGTGCCAGACTGAACACGGCAGTCATGCATTAGCATGGCTTTAAGGACTCCTCAGTGGAAGGCCTGCAAGCAGGACACGGGATGGAATTCCTCCCCACAGCAGTGGAGCACTGTCGTGGCCACCTTGACCCGCAAGGATGACGTGACACCGGATCTCTTCCTGCTAGTAGTTTATTCAGGACTTTTTTTTTTTTTTAACAATTCTCTCTCTCTCTCTCTCTCTCTCTCTCTCTCTCTCTCTCTCTCTCTCTCTCTCCTTCTCTTTTCTCTCTCCCCGGGCAAACCTCTCTCAGCCCTTAAAAAGGCACAGGCCGCCAACCCCGGATTGCCAGGTGGGCACTGCCCATAGGTTCACGCATATGCAAGCAGCTGATAATTATTGCGTTATCACAGAGAGCACTCGCTTTCGGGATCGTGGAGGGCAGAAGCCAGCACCATCAGGTGCGGCTCCACGCAGCTCTCTACATCACCATCAGGTGTGGCTCCACGCGGCTCTCTACAGAGCACAGCAGGAAAGCAGCTGGACACGGGCTCTTCCTGCCATTGTCACGGCTGTTAGCCTCTGCGTCAGCACCATCACGGGTTCCACACAGAGATGTCAAAAGAGGACCGAGGGCTTGGGGGCAAAAGTCAGAGTTCCATAGTCCCACGTGGACTCCAGGACACTATGGTCCAAAATGCTGGGGTGGCTGAGGTTGCATGTGCTTTGCTGTTTGCTCTTTTGAGAAAGGGTCTCACTTATACCCCAGGCTTGCCTAACTCTCACAGTGATCCTCCTGCCATGATGTCCTCAGTACAGAGTACAATTTTGTCACAAAAGTGTCAGCAATGAGCAGATGACAGAACAGACCTAGTCTTCAGTCTGGATGCTGTGTAAGCATCACCTGAGGAGGCCTGAGGTTCAGACCATATCACAGAGGCAGAACTCGGTGCGTTTTGCTAAGGGTTTGATTGGACAGACCCTCCCTGTATTCATGATTCTTCCTCATTTTATTTCATTTTTTTGCTTCCTTCCTTTCTTTACGTTTTTCTTTGCCAATTAGAGTACAGTTATTTCTTTAACCCAAAATAAAGTGCCTAAGAGAGAAGAATTTCCATGGCAACTCCTCATTTCTTCCTGTTTTCTCCTAAGGGAGCTGTGCAGAGATAACTGGGTAGCTTGGTAGGAAGCTTAACTGTGGATGCTTTGCTCCCCATTGTCATCTTGGCAGCGTGGCAAAGGCGTTCTTTTGTGGTCAATGGTGTAGCTAATCTGTTGGATGTTTTAGTAAGGGTGCTTTTTTTTTCTCATTATTTTTACTATTTTGAAAATTCTGAATTTGGGACATTGAGATGTGTCAGCACACGTGTGAAGTTCAGAGGACACATTGGAGGGCTGTGTTCTCTCCTGGGTATCTACTGCAGGCCCTCGGGATTGGTTTCAAGTGTCTTTACTCACTGAGTCACCTAGACGGTCAGTGTTAACCACTCCCTCCTTCTTTCCTCCCCAGACAGGGTTTCTTTGTGTAGCCTCTGCTTCCTGGAACTTGTTACTGTGTAGACCAAGGTGGCCTTGAACTACAGAGATTCTCCCATTTCCCCCTTCCAAGTGCTGGCTTGATAGGCCCGTGCCTCCACAGAAAGCTGGGGCAAGTGATGAGTTTCAGTTACCAATGTGCAGCTGAGATAGATGTGGGCACTCCTACGTGTGCCTCATTGAAATTCCTGGTGCCTGATGAATATTAATCAGGTGGTTTAAATATGACCTGGGTGGACTGGGCGCCCTTTCAGCTGAGGCAGAGGGATCTCCGCTGCACGTTTTTTAATGATCTCCATATGGTTGGAACCCTGTGCCCGGGTGGAGATTGCTTAGTGAGTGCAAGAATAATGCAGGGTTGACTTTGCACTCCAGGTGCAAGTTCTACTGCAATGCCAATGTCTGCAGGCCTGGGATGGAAGCCAGGGCTGGGAAGCTCTGTCCTGTTTCTAATCGAGCAGCCCCGTCACTCAGAGTCACTAGCCAATCAGGGACTCCAGACTGACGGCTAGTCAGAACGGGGCGGGTGCTTCCCGTTCACCGTGCTGCAGGCTCCAGTGGACCCAGGCTAGAGGGAATTTCTGTGGTTCCGTATTCTCCTTTCTCCGTTGTGACCGCTGCCCGGAGCTGTGAGGAGAGCAGGGCGAGCTCGGAACCCGCTATGGTGAGCGAGGGCCGCCGTGCCCACGCGGGTGGAGCCGCGGGATCCGGTGTGGGGTCCTCCCGGGACTGTGGGAACCGGCGGAGGACGCGGTGGCCGGAGTGATTCCAAGTTTGGTTCCCCGAGGTCCCTGCGACTCCCAGCTGCAGCAGGACCTCTGAATGACCGCGCTTTGCTGGATACGCATGCGCAGTGCTGGGGTTCCTGTAGCTCTTGTGCCGAGCCTTGGCACTATGCAGGGAGCGCAAGTGCGCTGTTTTTTAGTGCGTGCTCCCCTCCTCCCCCCAGGGAAAGCCGACTTGTTAACGCTCAGAGATCTGGTTTTTCTAGTGTCTTCTAGAAGTTCTGCACTTGGCACTGAACATTCATGTGTAGGATCCGTCTGCAGTTAATTCTGGGCAGGGTGTAAAGTCTGTGTCATGAGCACATCTGCGTGGAGAGGCCAGGGTGGTCCAGTCACAAGTGTCAGTAAGGCCCCACTTACTGGGTTTCCTGGACTCGTGTCAAAATTGATTATATTGTTATTTTTATTTATAAATAAAAATTATAAATAAATTAATTTTTATTTCTAAGTTTGCACTCATGCTCTGGTGATCTCTCAATTCTTCCCCAGTTGGTACAGTCTTTTGAGACAGGGTTTTTATTTGTAGCCCTGCCTGTCCTGGAACTCACTCTGTAGGCCAGATTGGCCTCAAACTCCCAAGTGCTGGGATTAGAGGTGTGTGCCACCACCTCCGAGTTCAGTACATATTTATTGCAGTTCATTCAAAGTTAGAAGTCAGGTGGTGTCACTGTGCACTGTTTATTCAGTAATGTGTTGACCGTTTTTCACACATGGTGACCTTTTCTCATTCGATTTCAGTTGTTGGTAGCATGAATTGTTAGCCTTTTTATTGGACTATTGCTGTATCTATAGTTCATATTCTCTATTTTCATAATACAATATTGACATAATAGTCAAGATGACAGCAAGCCACATGGTTGCTTTCTACTCAAGGTTAGTCCTGCTCCTCCTCCAGCGGACACAATTCCCAGCGGGACCCCACCTCTCCAAGGACAAATGTGCACAGCTCCACTGTTGTGGTTTTCGTCTCTTTAAGAGACAAGCCAAGCCCACTCCCAGAAGCCCCTGCCCCCCTCTCGTCATCTTGATTCTCACTGTTCCTTCTTGGCACACGCTTTTCTCTCCTGCTCCCTTCTCTGTCTCTCTCCTTTCTCTTCTTTCCCCAGTCTTTCTCCCCTCTAAGAAATAAATATACAATTCTATTCTGTACGATTTGTCTGCCCGTGTGTCTTCTACCCACCGCCTGCTCACACCCCTGGCTCGCTGGGACCAGCCTGTTGGGACCAGCCCAGCACTGGTGACTCTCCCGTCAGGGAGCCACTGCTTGGAACTGGCAGCCGTCTCTGTCTGGGACTAGCTGCTCTGTGGGCCAGCTGCCTATTCCCGCCAGGGATCTTACAGCATTTTTAACAATTGGTGCCGTGTGACTTGGATAGGTGCTCCTGCCTGGAACTCCTCTCCCAGGGTCAGGATCCTGAACCAGCTTCTCGGCTTCAATTGGTGAGTTTCCCTCTGTTCTGCTATGGTTGCTTCCCTTGGCCGGAATCTTGTTTGGACTGATCTGGGGTTAGCCAGCCTGCGTTTTAGCACTGTACACTCCCCGTGCAGTGCGTTCGACTGGAGGCCCAGGGTCTCCCAGTTTCTTCATCTTTTTTTTTTTCATTTCTTCTCTTTTCTTTTTCTTCCCTTGTTATAATGCCGCTCAGAGCGGCCCCAGCCTCTCTGGTTTCTGAGTCACCCAACCAGATCCAGCTAGGCCATAGCACTCCACTCGTGGTCAGAGGACGCTCGTCCACAAGTCCTGAATGTTCACGCCAATCTGCATCCTGCCTGAACAGGAAGACATTCTCGTTATAGGCTTTGGGTGCCGCTGTTTCATGGGTTTTCACAATTCTGGCTATGGATAGCAACCACCCATGTCAGCTCCCTGGCTTTTTTTTTTCAATTCCAGCCATGGCATGGTGCAGTTTTTTCGGTTCCAGCCTTTTGCTCCCCTCTGTGGCTTGTGTTGTGGCATGGTGGCTCAGCGACAGGGCAGATCACACCTTTAGGACCCTCTCATTAAGCTTAAAATCCTTACAGCTCAAAAATTGTGGCTTTTTCATACAACACGTGGCTGCCACCAAGTTGACTGGGGTCAGGTGACCTTACCACCATCTTGGCTGAGAGCCAGGTCAAATGACCTGTGGACATTCCTCCCCTGTCTTGGTGCGGTCGCAGCAGGCCCAAGAGTGGAGAGCTGGAGTTTTTAGGAGTGGTTTCAGTTGTATAGGGGCTAGGGGCCTGAGTGGATTCCTCTGGAATGGGTGCAGGAAGTGCTTCCTCCAGGGCAGGAGGAGGAAGATGAGGAAAAGGAGGAGGTGGAGGCCAAGAGGAGGAGGAAGATGGGGATAAGGAGGAGGTGGAGGGAGTGGAAGGGGGTCCAGGAGAAGGTCATTCTGAGTATCAGGAAGAACTGGAGGTACCTGGGTGCTGGGCTTCCTTTGCTCCTGCACAGGAAGGAGGGTAGACAGAGGGCTTGGAGGAGGAGGAGGTGCCGACAGGGCTGGGGACAGTACTGGGCTCTGAGTTCCTACAGGTGGGGCAAATGGCTTGACCCATGGTGGGGGGTCTCTAGACGAGCTCTCCCAGGTAACGATATAGTGGACCTGGTCTGGTTGGCCATGAGGGCTGATTTGGAAGACTTTTTCCTTGACTTGTAAGATAGTATCCAAGTTAAGTGTCCTGTCCCAGGGCCAGCCCACCTCAAAAGTGGGCCATTCCGAGGAACAGAACGTCTGCGAGTGTTTCTTTCGAATTTCCACAGATTGATTATGAGCTCGATCCTCAACCTCCTTCCAATGGTCTGAAGTCAGGGTGAAAGGGGTAGTTATTTGTCGTCCCATTTTATCAAAGACAAACTGATACACAAGAACAAAAATACAAAAAGACAGACACAGACTCAAGACCAGAAGCCATGCAGTGCAAAACTGAAAATACAGATGAAGGCAGATCACGCCTCCCTGGGACTAGGGCGACCTGGTCGCCCCTTCTTCAAAAATGCCTGTGAGGTGTCCTTCCCCCAGGCTGGGACAAGGGGGTCTCAGAACACGTCTGCTCCCCCCCCCTTGGTCCTGTTCCAATACTAGCTCTGTGCAGGTACAATTTTCAAATTACTGACTCAAAATTACACAGAAACAGAAACACAATAAACAGACAGACATAAAAGCGAACTCGTTCTTTCTTACCTCCAACTGGGTGGGTCTGGGGGCCACGCTTTCTCAGCCAATGCACCAAATGATGGACCCTGAAGTCCAATCACTGAGGAGGAGTCGCCCCAAGAGACCACTCTCACACCACAGTTGATGTAAAAGCAAGAGGATTTAATTAATTCTGTCGTGACAGGGCCTTTCAGCATTCAAGAAGCCAAAAAGACCCCGAATAGCTGGTAAGGCTACTTTTAAAGTAAAAAGCTATAGAAACAAGGGAGGGGGAACCTCAGGGGTTGTTCTTTAACTATTTGGATTGGCTTATTCAAAGGGCTATTAACAATAATTGGTTTGAGCCAGGGCTGGAGGGCGGTTGCCAGATCAGATGAGGTAAGAGGGAACATCTGAGGGTTACTTTGGCCCCTTTCCCAGGACTGAGTCCTGGGACATCTGTGGACATCTGTGAGTTATCTTGTCCTAATTCCAGGAGTGGAGCTCTATTTGGAGAATATCCACAAGGACACAGGGAGATAGGGAGTCCCCAATATTCCAGTACGTGCATGTGTAGTTGTTATGTCCCAGGGGAGGGGAAAGCACTAAGGCTGAGAGGCCTCAGAAATGGCCTCAGAGTTGTCAGAAATGGCTTCAGAGTTACCCTAGAGTTTTATACCTTGCCAAGTCCAGGGGTAGTGTTTTTACTTTTTTGAGAAAATGTTGGATTTTACAGATCACTCCTTGAAAAGGAGACAATCTGTGAAAGAGAAAGTAGTGGAACTTTTTCTTTTCTTTTGGGCAGAGACCAGGAGAACTTCCCTCTCTTCAAGACTGCTTAGAGCAGGCACAAAATGGAGGGGATTCTCACCTAGGGGAACTGTTCATTCTCTTAGATGACAGGGGAGTTGGGACATGGGGGAGAGACCTGGCACCTCTGTGCCTCCATACAGGGACCAACCCTCAGTGTAAGCAGGAGTCAAGCAACAAAATAAGCAAGACCTTACATTCCTAGAGTAGGTCAGGTGGAAGACTTCCTCCACCTTCTTTCTCCCCCTCCCGACCTTGCAGAGCCAAAAGGATGTGTGTCCCCAACAGGAGAGAACACAGTTTTCTAACTGGGTGAGAAGGGTTTCACACATGAGAAAGCCACTGGTCAACACAGGGAAACAAAACTGATAGAAACTGGCCATCACATTGTCATACACCCGAACAGACAGTAGTGTGTCACATGGTTCCTGGACACTCTGTCAGTATCCACATCTGACCACTTCTGTGTGTCCAAAGAGAAGGCACTTTAACCAGAAATAACCTCTGGGGAAGAAAGAACGAGCGACTTTCTAATTTACATCCTTTGGGGAGTGGAGGGTCAGACCCCTCAGAAGCATTAGGTAGTAACTGATCAAAGAGTGCTCTGGTGTGGTGGCTTAAATAGGAATGGCCCCATAGACCCATGTGCTTGAATGCTTGGCCCATAGGGAGTGGCATTAATAGGAGGTGTGGCCTTGTGTGAGCCTATTTCCACATTGACCAAAGGTCAGAGAGTTGGAACTTGCCTCTATTCCTTCAAGGTTATTGTGTTTCTACCTCAAACAAAGGTCCCACCTAGTTATCGACCGGGAGAGTTCTGCCCTCTCAATGTTGTTGTCAACAGGTGTAGCTAATAACTAGACCTTGCACTCTAGGAATAATGTTTCTACCTCAAACAAAAGTCTAAGGATCCAACTAATCTTTAGTTCCTTTAAGGAAATGACATTGGA